AGCTCAAAAATGAGCAAAAGATTTCAATTTCATTTTGATGGATCGCATTTTTGGTTGTGGCTCGAAAAATGGCCCCAGCCCGAGACGAATGGATGGACATGGACATGGACATGGACATGGACATGGACCATAGCGTAGTGCACTTTTTGGCTTTGCCTTTGGTTTCCCTCTCTTCCCACTTCCCACTCTTCCCTCTCTTTTCTTGTTTGTTTGCTCCTTCTCTTACTCTTTTTCTCTCGCTGCTTGTGGCCATTGTTTACTCTTGTAAGCTGCTGATTAAACCATGCAATGGGCTCCCGCTCTCTCCCTCTCTCTTTCTCTCTCTCTCTCTCTCAGTTTTCTTTGCTTTTGCCTTGCCGGTTGCCGCCCTCCTGCTGCTGCTCACTTCTCTGGTTGCTCCTTCTGGCTGCCATGCCCCTTCTGGTGGAAACAACACATCAATTGCGGGGCGTTGCAACACAATGAATGAATGTTTTGTGTGTGTGCCAGTGTGCCACTCCTTGTACGAAAGACAATTGTTTGATTTTCGATATGTTTTCGAGGTGAGAGCGAGGAGAAGTTTTTCTAGCAATTCTGCTTTCGTTTGCAGTTTTCATGCAGCAGCCCAGCAGCCTTCGGATTAGTCCTTATGTAATGCACATCAATCCTGAAGCCAAAAGGACTCAAAGTTATTGAAGTTTTGCTGTCATGCCAGTGACTTCAGCTTCAGCTCCTGCTCCTGCTCCTGCTTCTATTTTCATTCCCATTTCCATTTGCTGTCATGGCAGCTCCTCCTCCCTGGACTCTAATTCTCTTGCTCCTGCTCCTGCTCCTGCTCCTGCTCGTCCTTGTTGTTCATATTAATTATGAAAGCGCATTTGCTGAACGGCAAATTTATTTGGCTTATATTTCGATTTGGGTTTTTGCTTCTTCCCCCACTCCTCCCTTTTTCTGCCGTTTCTCCCATTTTCTCCTTTATTTTTGCCGAATTTCCTGCTGCTTTTTTCCGGGATACTCGTTATATTTTTGTGTAATTCTCTCGGGGGAGGAGAGAGTAAAAGCGAATTGGATGTGAAATGTGATGCTTAATTAGTTTTTATGCTACTACTGCTTCTGCTCCTCCCTCTACTTCTCCTTCTCCTCCTTACGACGCTGATGATGATTATTATGATGATGATCCCTGATCCCTGATTCCGAGGATGGCATGGGAACGAGCTTCACGGATGACGTTTGCTTCAATCAGGCTTAGCCCTGGTGTAAATGTTTTTGTTGCTTTGCTTTTCCAGCAAATTAAGTCTCAATGAGTACAGAAGAAAAAATGTTGCCAGTTTGTGGAACAGTTTTTTAGGAGCGGAATTAATTGAATGAATTTTAAGTGGAGTTTTAATAACTGATTCAAGATTGATAAGGCATCAAAGTACAGTCAGTAGTAGTCTCTAGTTAGTTAGTAAATTGTGATGTCAAAATCCTACTAAAAACTTACTTTAAAGCTTACTTTAGCAGCATTAGAGCTCAGCACTCACTCTCATGTTTAAATCAGTGAAACTCTTAGTGCAAAATCCTTTCTCCAACAACTTACGAGTACTTTTCGGGCATTCAAACTTCATTATGTCACGCCCCGACCAACCCAACACTCCGTTTTGTCCAAGCTTTTGTGTGTTTATTTAAATTGTAGTCACAGTTTTATTCCCTGGCAGCAAAATACTCGCATAGAAAATACTCTGACAGAATGGCAAAAAAGATCTGCAGTCGACAACAAGTTTTAGGGGCCAGGCAGCACAGCACTGATAACGGCACGGCAACAGGAAATGTCGAGAACAGGCAACAGCAACAGAAACAAAAACAGCAACAGCAACAGCAACAAAAACAACACTGCAACAACCAACTGTAACTGCAGCTGCCACCTCGAGGGCCAGGGCGAGGGAAAGTTGGAGCAGGAAGCTCAAGCAAAATGTGTGCTATGGGTCAAGCTGGTAGAAAGGGGGGAAAACACAAATGGAAACACTCTCGGCATACGATAAAGTTGCAGTCTGGGCAACGCCATAACTTGAGTGCATAAATCTTGGCCAGGTTTTGTGTGTGCCAAGCCCGGAACCCCCCTATTTCGAGGTGACATCTTTGGTGAGTGGCACGTGAAAGTAGCCAACAAACCGTCACTCCACTTCGCTTTCTCCTGCTCTTTCATTCAATGTCCAGACACTGCATAATAAATTGCAGCCGTAGTGTTATAAATATCCTTGCTGCCCCCCCAAGGCCACAGTCCCCAGCCACAGTGGAGAGGACATGCGGCTGGCGTCTGCTGATAGCAATCTTCTCTCTTTGGGGGCAACAATTTCGCACATGACCAATGCACGAAGCGAACGAGCGAACGAAGATTAAAACAGCAAAACTGCAATGCTGACGCAGCTGATAAAAATTGAGCAAATCAATAAAAATGTATGCGGGTAGGAGGACACACGGCTTTTTGCGGATTGACTTGGAGAAAATCCTTGGGCAGTAGTAGACCTAAGGACCTAAATGCACTGCATTTGGAGGGGGTAATAATTGAGGCAGAAGTGCAGAAGAGACAGAAACAGAGAGTATTGGAGTGTGCAGCAAGAATTCTGATTTTTGTGTAATTTTAGCAGCTAATTTATTTACTTTTTGAGGAACTTTAGAGCGAGTAGAGTAATGGAATTATTTCCACAAAAACGAATCTTTATGTGTACATTTATTAATCTGTTCTTTGAGTGCAAGTGGGACTTTACAGTGTTTTATGTTCAACCTTTATGCTTTCGTATGTCCATCAAAATGTACTGATTGCATACACCATTACCTGAAATTATTCTAAACATTAAAAGTACATTCCTTTTAGCCTCTTTTTGCTCTACATGTGCTCAATATTGTATGTACTTTCATTACATTAAACTCGTCTTATTAGCAGATATTGTATATGCCACTTTCAAATAATAATTCTGTCTCCGTTTCTTGTGTTCTGCCAACCCAAGGGGCATACCCTTCCTGACCTTCCAGGTGACCAGCCGCCTGCAGAGGCGCCCACTAAAAAGTGTTAAATGGAAAACAATAATAATGCAGTGAGCTACAGCCCCCTGTCCACACAGTGTCCACACAGTGTCCGTGGAGTGGACAAGCCCATTAAGAGGCAGTGCCGCACAGTGGCTCGAAAAATGCGGCGACAACAATAAATTAATGCGATTTATTGCTGCGATAAGCGCGGGACAGTCGCCAGGGCCTATGGGAGCCCACAACGAGCCGCAAAATGTTGCTGGGTGTCGCGAGGGTGCGTCGTCGTCGTTCTCCTCGTGTGTGGGCTTGTCCGGAATGCGATAGATAAGCAGGCCACCACCGCTCACCCACTTCAATGCCCATACCAGGGCTTGGGTGGTATGCAAAAATTTGTCCCCAGGCCTCGTCAAGTGAGTTTTACGATATTTACGATGCAACAAAGCCCCAAGCCAAGAAGGAGCGCTCCCTCGCTTCCGCTTCCTCCCCTTAGATAAGCCGACTTACTTTTGCCATTTAATTAGTAACTCAACGAGCATTAGACGCCAAAAGTGTCTCCAGGCACGCCCCATGTCAAAATGCCTTTTTAATTAAAACCGTCCCCACCCCCCAAAAAAAAGGACAACAAAAAGTAAAAGCGAAAAGAAATTCCCCCGATCAAATGATGTGTGAGAAGTCGATAGAGCTCCGGGTGCTGTGGGCCGCTAAATCACAATTGCAAACAGAAAGTGCGGCGGCAACCCTGCCCGGCCAGGGGTGTCTAGGCAGTCAAAGAGCAACACACACAAAAAATCCAGGAAAAGGCAAAAACGGAGGCAGGGAGAAATGCAAAACTCTGCCAGCAATTGGAACTAGGCTTTTCCCCTCTTTTGCGGAAAAGCTGCTCTGTGTGGAAAATCTTGTGTGAAAATTTGTTGAGCGTGCAAACTGGCAAGCGACTCGAATGGGAATGGGAAAATGCCTCTGATGGTGGTGGGGATCGTTGTCTGGGATTGGTCTGGTCCAAAAGGCAATAATTGCATGAAATGCCCAGAAAAATATTTTCGCTGAGTGCGGCACAAAACGGTTTTACAAGGGGGAGGCCGGGGAAGGATTTTACAGGAGGCAAGGTTGACGTCTGGTTAGTGGTAACTGGTACCCGGGCATCCCAGACACAGACGCTAAGCTGCCACTAAATCACAACCCAAAGCCGCTGTTAAAACATGAGCCAGAGCGAGAGTCAGAGCCACCCCATTGCTGTGGTGGTTCTTAACCAGCCAGGAGTCGGAGTTGGACTCGGTGGTTGCAACAGCACAGTCGCCAGCGGCAGGACACGTGCAACACTCTGCAGTAAGGAGTAGCGGCAGGGGCAGAGGCAGGGGCAGGGACAGGGCTGACTGACTGACAGCAGCATCAGCAGGAGAAGGAGCTGCCCTCAGGCCGAGCAACATTTCTGAGTAACTGACACTCCCCACAAGATTTGATTAGGGGAGATCGTCGTGGCCAAGCCACAGCTCTTGAGGCTCGTTAAACGTGCAACAAAAAGAAGAGTGATTCATGCTCAGGAGAGGGTTTCCGTTCCTTCATGCCAAAAGGGTTTCTTGTTATAATAGATTCGATTTTCATTCAGGACTGTGCGACGGGACCCTTTTTTTGCGCACTTGTTTATAAGAATTCAATGTATTTTCGGATACATGGGATACAATATAAAATAATTCGAATGTAATATTTTATGGAGAGCAGCCCTTGGTGGAACTGGAACCCTTTTCTATGCAATCTTTACTTTTGGGACATTTTACTAAGATTAAATGCAGCTTGAAACACATGTAGCTGAGGCATCATTTAATTGAGATCTTTATAGTTCTTGCCAGCACTTTGAGGGGTAACTTTTTCATCATTTAATATAGTTATTTTTAGGTCACTTTTCCGCAGTTTTTATTTCGAGTAATTGGTGCTCCAATCCTTTACCATCTTTGACTCAAGGAACGCTTAATTACAATCACAAATTTCATCCTCAGCACTTTTTCAAATCATTTGCAGCCTTTTGCATACATATTTTATTACTTTCCTACACAAAATGAGTTAGGATGCCTAACCTATACAATAGGTATATAATCATACATACAAAAACAGAATAAGAAACAAGAAAGAAGAGGGGTTGGGGTAAGGGTAGGGTTAAGGTAGAGCCCACATATTGATAGAGAAGGAGAGTTCTTTGTGTGCACTTCCCGCATTTCGTTCAAAGGTCCGTCACGTTTCGTATGTCCACGCCCATTTCCTCGAAGCGGGTGGCATCATTCTCGAAATAGTCATCACCATCCTCGTCATCCGTATCGCACAACGGCTGACCCTGACCATCCCGCGGCAGATTGCGACGCGGTACCCGCGTTTTTCTCAGCTTACTGAAGGCCTTCTGGAATGCCACCGCCTTCTCGTTGCTGGGCGTGGCCGCTGCCATTGGTATGATCCAGCGATAGGTGACATTTGCCAGTCCAACAATCAGTGCGATGGCCAGCAGAAGGTACAACATGACGAGGGCGGGATTGACGTTGGAGTTGCCTGTGATGTCCATATTGCCAGCAATTTCATTCGGATCCACTGTCCACGAGATGCGATTATTGAGTCGTTCTGTAGTGGAAACTATCGAAAGAGGACTATGATATATATATATATCGTGGAGGGGTGGGGTTGATTCTCACTTGGATTTCCTTTAGGAGGATTGACAACAGCAGCGGAAGTTGATTTTTGTGTGGTTGTTGATGATGCTGTTGTTGAAGTTGTCGTTGTCGTTGGTGTGATTGTTGTAGTGTTTGGTGTAGTTGTTGTTAATGGTTTAGTTGTTGTTTTCCGTGTCGTTGTTGTTGGTCTCCTAGTCGTTGTTGTTGTTGTTGGTGTAAGTTTTCGCGTTGTTGTTGTTCTCTTCGTGGTCGTTGTTGTTGGCTTTGCTGTTGTTGTACGCCTTGTGGTTGTTGTTGGTTTTGCTGTTGTTGTTGTTGTACGCCTTGTTGTTGGTTTTGGTGTTGTAGTTGTCGTTGTTGTTGTTGTAGTTCGTTTTGTTGTCGGTTTTGGTGTTGTTGTAGTCGTTGTTGTAGTTCGCTTTGTAGTTGTTGGCCTTCTGGTCGTCGTCGTTGTTGTTGTTGTTGTTTTTGTCGTTGCAATAGTTGTTGTTTCTTCCTCAGCAGTCGCATCAGTCATCACAACACATTCCTCCATGTAATTGAGGCAACAATTTTCAAGTTCCACACACTCCTCATTGCACCCACAGCCCTTGAGTATGCCATCCTCCGTGAGGACATATCTGCTGCCCGGCTGCCCGCACCGATTCGTGCAGTTCATCATGTCAAAGACCATTGGCTCCTCGCTGCTGTCGGGCTTGACGGTGGGCTCCGGGGTGGTTGTGTACTCACCCACACCACAGTCCCGGCCCGTCATCAGGCGCACATCATCGATGGCAATGTCACCGAAACGCGCTCTGGCATCGGTGGCCGTGAAGATTACCTGGAAATCCTCCTCCATTTCGTCAATGAAGATGGTGTGCTCCAGCCACTGGGTGCCCTGGCTGCCAGTCTCTTTCCATTTCGTAGAACTGCAATAATCACAAACAGAGAGAGGAAGTGTAAGAGAGTGAGCAAACGATGACGAGTGCGGGTTGGGAGCTTATCAACGTCGCTTCCGCTCTCTGTGAGACTCACTTGGCCTTGAACGAAGTCCACATGTCTTGAACGGACAGTGAGATCGGCTTAACGGACACTACCAGACTTTCCACGCCCACACCATACATAAGGTAGTGGAACCGAAAACAGCAGGCGGTCTTCAGGCTCAGCTCCCGCGGATAGATGGGCGACATAAAGTGGTAGCTGCCGAACGCTCCACTCTTGGTCTCCATGCGCATATAGTGCCCGCCGTAGCTGCTCTGAAAGGTGTGATCGTGCCGCGGACCCGTGCGATACGAGTGGTAATCCGCCACAGTGCTGATGCGCTTCCAGGGCTGCATGTACGACTGCTCCGCCGTCCAGCCGCACTGATCCTCGCTCTCAAAGTCGCACGAGTGATCCAACGAGTGATTGCTGCGTCGACAGCTGCCCAAAGCGGTGTTCCAATGCGTGCCATTGCAGTAGGCAGAGCCGCTTCCCACCAGCACAAAGCCATCGTGGCAGACGGTGTAGGCCTTCAGGCCGTTGAGAGTGAAGCTATCGGTGTTCCCCAGCGTCTGCAGCTCCGGGCAGCCACGTTCTATAGTGATTAATGGACAGTTTTAGCCAAAGTTTCGACGGAAGACTGTCACTTACTCGCACAAAAGGGTCGTTCGCCGCGCAGGCGGCCATCCGTTCCGCAGGTGGCAATGGAACTGCCTTGCAGCGAGTATCCAGGATCACAGCGAAAGCGCACCAGATTTCTATTCCGATTCACTATCGAGCCATGTTGCAGGGTGGTCGAACGCTCGCAGCGTCCAGCTGTGTGGCCCGGCAGCATGAGGAGCAGCAGAAGGAGCGGCAGAGCCAGACCCAAGAGTTTTGACATTTTTCCTAGCAGCAGATCTGCGACTTTACAAGTTGGAATAAAGACTGACCAGCGATCGTAACTCAGCTAAAGACAGCGTTTATATTTTATCAAGCCTTACCCAGAGCCCGCGCTCTCTCTCTCTGCCTCTCTGCCTCTCTGTCTTGGGTTTTCTCTTCTCTTTTGGTGATAAAACTTATGCCGATAAGTCGGTAAAGCGGCGGCGCCTCACTCTCATTTGTTTACTGCAGTGCGAGTTCAGTTTTCTAAATGTTTTCTGGAATAACTCTTATGATAAGAAACGTTTTGTAGTTGTCCGCCTAGCGATCAGCAGGCAGACAGAAATAAACTCCATTAAAGTGGAAAAATCCCCCCTACTATCCCCTTTGGGATAGTAATCTGCGGCCATAAGTTCGTGGCAGTTAAGACCTTGTGCCATCTTGATGGCCACTCGCTTAGCGTAATCCTCACAGTGATAGATACAAATCATGCGAGGGGGAGTGTTGTCTCCGGCTCTGTTGCAAGTCTCAGTTTCGGGCTTGGCCCATTCAAATGCAATTATGCGCATCTCCTGGGGCAGCCAGCAGTTGGAACTAAATAGCAGCAGCTTCTTCCTGTCGCCTGCCAACCTAAATTATGGCCATCTCCTGTGAAAATAATTGCATTGCCCGGTGGAGAGAACCTTCCTGCCTGACTGCCTGACTGCCTGCCTCCGTTGCCATCGTTTTCTATCGCTTCGCTGTGATTTATGTTTGCTTCCGCTTAAGACCCAAACAACTCACAATCACGACTCTTCCTGCTGCTGCTTCCCTTCTCCCACTTTCTGCCCGACCGTGTTGAGATAATCAGTCAATATTGACAACTACTTATTGGCACTTCCGATGAGCGCGAAACGACGCTGCGACGGAGTACGCCATGCGGATGGGAACGGAGGGGCGACACGTGACCGGAGCAGCAGCATGCCACGTGGCAGGGCAGCAACTGCAAGCGAAACTGAAGCGAATTTCCATTCTTGCAATTCGAATTTCATTCATAATTACAATCAAGAGGCAGGCCAGAGAGTGAGACATTGACAAGGGGATGGTTCTGGGACTGGTTCTGGTTATCCTCCTTATCGACCTGGAAATTTATGTATCCAGGGCGAGTGTTTCCATCCCCTTTGCAGGTCTGGCTGGTCTGGTCCTTGCCTTTCCCTGATTTCTGGCTGCTTAAATATTTGCTCATTATTATGATTATTCTTTTATTTGTGGTGCTGCTGGCTGGCTGCTACTGCTACTGCTACTGCTACTGTTTCCTGGCGGTTTTAAAACTTCAATATTTGCGCTCAAATTACGCCGTTGGGAAAAGGGCTCTGTCTGGCCTTGGGGTTTCTTCTCTGCAGTTGCCAGAGGAGACGCTGGGAATGTGCGCCCAGGATTAGAGCTGGCAAATGAGCAGCTGTTGCCAGGGTGCGACTCTTCTCCGCTGTCCTGCATTTGCTCAGCCCACAGGTAATGAGCCTGGCAACAGGGATAATCAAATCAAATTATTCTTGGACAGGATTTTGCAATCATTTAACAGGAGCCTCCACTCACCTGTCTTCTCTGGCATGTGTAATTGGGTTTTGGTAAAAAGGGTCTGCAAAAAGAAAGTTGGTGCTGCCAAAAAGCTTATGCGAGAATTTCGCGCCACGAACCTCCCTCAAACACGTACGCTTCGATTCGAGTTAACGCGATTAATGCGGAGGCGCCACAGCACAGATAAAAGTTGGAGGCGAACTTCAAAGATTACGTCGATAATTAATAAAATTAAACACAAAAGCACTCAACTCCACACGGATGGCGACCGCAGGCTGAGGATTGCCGCTGCCAGTGCCAGTGCCAGTGCCGGTGCCAGTGCCAACTGACCTCTGACCCCGCTGGGTTTCGCTCTGCTCTGCTGTAACATTAGGCCGGCCGCAGGCGTGCCAAGTCCGGCGCTGGTCAGCTTCTGGTCGCATTAATTACAAACCAATGACCGCAAAGTCCCACACAGACAGAGGGAGGAGAGCGGAAGAGTGGGTATCGGGTTGATTGGATGACGGCAGGATGAAGCTCAAGGGGGGGCCAGAGTGGCAAAGAGGTTGGCATCTATAAGTTGGCACGGCGGCGGCACACTCATCGTGTCTTTAATTTGCGGTAATTTATGAAACTCATTATGCGCCTCGCTCTCGCTCTTTCTCTCACTCGGCCACAGAGTCGTCGGAGTCGCAGGCCAACGAGTGCGTGCCCGCAACCGCAAATATACAGAGAGAGGGAGAGCAAGAGAGCAGCGAAGAGAGGTGCAGGAGCAGGAGCAGGAGCAGGAGCAGAGCAGCGAGGAGAAGCACCGTTAGTCCTGAAGACCTCTTGAAAAAGTTACCATCACGGTGGTGGCTGTTGGGTCCGAAACTTTTCGCGTAATTTCATTTAAAGTCCTCGAAAGTTGCTAGTGCTTCGCAAGTTGCAATTGTTGTGTGGGTTGCCTGGCATTAAGTTTGTGGTTCGTACTTTTGTCTGTTTCGCTGGCTGCCTGTCTGTTTTTCCCTACTCCAGCCTAATGGCAGCAGTTCTCGCTCATTATCCTACTGATTTTTAGCACGAGTTTTGTGCTGCCGCCTGCCTGCCACCGAATTTGCACCTAAACCCACACACATAAATGTGGCATAAATCCAATTAGGCGGCACCGGCAACGCTTTAATTGACGGTGGTTGCCGCCGACTACGTGCTGGATGAGGCACCCTTGGTCATGCAGTGGAATGCTGCCGTGGGAAAAGTGGGAAAAGTGGGAAACGGGCGCCATAGAATGACGAATGGCTCTGAGCGGAGTAAATGAATTTCATATGCCGCTTTTGTTTGAGATATGAATGAATGAATGACTGCGGCGGTTGCTGGGGCTTGTGGTGGGTGTGGGTGTGGGTGGTTGGGATTTCGATCTGGTTTTTCTCTGGCTCTGGCTCTGGCTCTGGCTGTGTGCTCTTGCTCCTGTTTGTGGCCTACTTTCTACTAAATCCATGTCATCGAGAGGCAGCAGCAGCTGGATTGAAGTGTTCCCACTTGGCTCTAATTCACAGGTGTGCTCATTATGCCCTGGCACACGGGGGAATGGGATTTTGTGCGAATATTTGCGAAAATCATAAAAATCATGCTGTCAATCGATGGACGAAAAGACTTGCCATGATCAGATCGGGCGCTTTTTATGGAGTACAGAAAAATACTACAGAAAAGAAGAATCAGCCAGCCTCTAAATTGCCAGAACGAATAAATTTCAGGCTTAGGCTTCGCTTTTGCAAATTAAATCTTAACTAAAAGTAGACTCTTGTAGAATTTCGATGTATCCAAAAGTATGCAAGCAAGTTGAGATGTTTTTTCATTTATTCCTATCTCGGTTTCCCCCGCTATTTGTGTGCCTATCTGGGCGTGCTATGGCTTACTGTGATCGGGGAAATGTCCCAAAACATTTGCTACACATTCGAATCCAAGTCAGTAAGCGCCGCTTCATACTTACGGTTGCATTATAGTCGTAATTGTGGACTACTTTTGCTTTCCACTTACTTGCCAACATGTTTTTATTCCACTTTGAATGCATTTCTTTCACATCGTTAATCGAATTGATTACAACTTGTTAGCCAATTTGAAGGCTGCCTGTGTGCCGCACTGCCAATCCAAGGCGGAGCCCACTCGGGGGGCTCTGGCGCTGTCAGCGCCAGTCAAAGTGGCTGCCGTTTCTTACGCAAAACTGAAGAAGAAGTGACATGAACAGGAAACCCAACAGCCCAGAGGGACGAGATGGAAGCGTAGGAAGCGTCCTGTGAGCCACTGCGCTTGGCACTAAATTAAAATGTCAGTGTCGTGTTACTTCCGGCGCCAGAGTTGCCAGAGCGAGCGACGAGCGACGAGCGACGAGCGACGTCTCCTGCATTGCCACTTAAGTCAAATTGCATGGCTATAAATTTGGTGCCAATCAACTTAAACATGGCACATTATGCAATGACTGCAGACTGCAGCTCAGGCTGCCTCCTCTGCCTCCTTTTGTTGCAGCAATCCTGCTGCTCTCTCTAGCCACAAAACCCAATCAAAACGCATGGCATTTAATTTAAATTCATCCTTTTGTTTTGTTTTTGTTTTTTGATGTTTTTGCTTTATTTTTACCTTCGTTTTAAAACTGAATAAAAAAATATTGTATGTTTTGCTTCATGTGAGAGTGTCTGACTGTACGTGTGTATGCATCATAAATATTTTAGCTAATGTTTTTCTCTCTGTCGTTTTTTGCGTGTGCTGGCAATTTGTTGAATTGAATCAGAAAATCAGAAAGGCATACAAAATAGTTAACAAAGTGTTTTATTATTTGAACAGCGCCCGGGGGGCATAGCATTTCCTCTCTCAGCTGCCACCGTGTCTCTGTTGTGCATGCCTGGGAACTGCATACTCGCAGTCGTTCATTTTATTATTCACTTTATTCATTCTTGTTTTTTGAATGATGTGCCACATGCCGCGCTACATTTTGTGTCTGTCAGTCAAAATATCGTATATACTCTCGTGTGTATTCTCGTTTTATGTACTAAATAAAAAAGATTTTGATTTTGTTTCTCTTTTTTTTTTTTTTTGGAAATATATTTTTAATGGATTTCGTTTCGATTTTTGTGTGGGTGTTTTGGGAGGGACTCTTGAAATGAAAATATTATGCCTTTTACTTATTTACAAATAATAAGTAGATGTATATGTCTGTGTGTATATATATATATATGTATTTATGTATATATAATGTATATTCGCTTACTTTTTTAAGAGTGTATAATTTATATAATAAAGATTCTCATTTCGTATTCGTATTCCTTTTTTTAGCTTAATTTTATCCGTTTCTCTGTGTGTGTTTGCTTTTTGTTCATTTAACGAGATTTTCCTTTTGTTTGTTTCCGAATTATTCGCTTTATTTTTGAGTGTGGCATTTGCTCTCTCTCTCTCTTACACATTTGCTTACTAGTTAAATTCATTTCGAAATTGTTTAAAATTAACTACAATTTAGTTTAAGTTGCCGCTGCTGCTGGTGCTGCTGCGTATTTACTTTGTTTTGCAATTCAAGTAAATATATACAAATTACACATGTATTTACACATAAGTCTTAGCTACAAAAAATGTTTCGCATCGTGTGCAGTTTACCATTTATCGTTTATCGTCTATCGTTTATCGTGTGTGTGTGCCATTGTCAAAAAGTTGCAAAAAACACTTGAACGGGGAAATTATTTTGTAATAAAACATCGCACAGTTCACAAACAAAACATTTATATCGTTAACATACATAACTTAATGAATGAATCGCCGCTTCGTTGGATTGGTTTTTAGTTAGAGTAAAGACTTAACAATAAATTACAAATTATTTTAATATGATCATTAAAATTTTGAATTTCAACAAAAAGCTCGTCAGGGCGTAATCAAAAACAAATGCAAAAGAAAACAGAACACAATCAATGATTTCTTGAACGTTTAAATTAAATGCTAAATTTTTGAAATTATATTAAAGTTTTGTTGAATTGGAGGAGTTTGTTTTTGTGGGTTTTTCTCTATTTTTCAATTATTTGTAATAATTTTTTTAAGTTTTCTGTTGTAGTTTTTGTTTCTTCTTTTATCGTAGAACTTACTTAAAGCAACATTTTTTTGTTTTCTTTTTCAGATGTGTTTAAAATTTAAAACTAGTTTAAGGTAAGTTTTTTGTTTACTTTTTTTTCGTTTTTCTTGTTTGTTTTTTGTGGCAGGTCGTACTGTTTAAATATACTTTTTGTTTTCTTGCTTTTGTTGGAGAGTATCTGTGAGAAGAAAGCACAGAGCCAATGCGAATCACTTAATGGATTTAATTTACGATCTAGTCCGTAATGGATCCCTAAGCCTAGGTTGTTTGTGTGTGAGATTTTTACTTAAGTTTTCTTTGAAATTTCCTTACTCATTTCAACATTGGATGCCTTAAAGTTGTACCACTTGCACGCAAAACTGGGACCTAGATCATAGACTGTGTTACCTATTAACTACTATTTTATTTAGATCTATAACTGCTACCTGTTCGATCGATCGTGTAACATTAAGTGCTCGTCCAGTGGGGTGATGTTTGTGTGAGAATAGGTGTCTGCAATTGTAGCTGTAACTGTGTGTATCTGTATCTGTATCTGTATCTGTATTCTGCTTAATGCTTAATGCTTATGCCTATGCCTATCCATCATTTTGTAGCTGCTAGGGGGAAACCCCATATGGTATGGTATTTATATGTATATCATTCGTTGCCAATAAAACTCAACACACGCTCGCCGTCGTATCCCTCAACTAAGCCTACATAAAACATATATATTTATGTATATTTTAAATTATAAAAAAAGTATTCAAAAAATGGCCACTTTTCAAATTAGAATTTGAGTTCAGAAGGTTCAAGAAATAATATTAAAAACATTAAAGACTCTTTTTCGATGATGATGAATGTTGTTTGTGTGGATGTAGATTCGATGTGTGTGTGTGTGTGTGGTGTGTGTTGTGGGTGAGAGAGTTATATAGTTGGATAGATAATATATTGAGTGCTGAATTTGTTTGTTGCCGTTGCGTTTCGTTTTGTTTCTAGACAATTATTTCGCGTATGACGCGACGATTCCTGGCATTCGGCGTTGTCGAGTATTCGCCCTCGAAGCTGTCGTCGTAGCTGAGGGACATGTGCTGCTGTTGTGGTGGCAGGACCTCATCCTGTTCCATATGCTCCATATTGTACGGATTCGGCAGGCCGCTTACGTCGTGATATGGTGAATCTACACAGGGAAAGAGGGGAAAATTGTTTAAATTAGTTTCACCGAAATAGGCCTAAAATTGGGCAAATCATGCTCAAACAATTAAAAACAAAATGCTAATCAAAGCGTAACCCAAACGTAAAGCAAAGTAAAGTAAAAACAAACACACGATGAGAGTGTTTCGTGGATGGGTAGGGTATGTGGCAGGGTATGTCAAAATCATAGCAGAAGTACGGGGAAAAAAAACAAACGTAGGCTCGAAAGTAACTCAAAATTCTTCATCATCATTCAGGGTAATCGAATATTTTTGCCTTCGTCCTTTTGGCTGACTGGAAACTTACTTCAGCCTGCGCGCTCCGTTAGAGCGTAACATCCTGTATGATGTCCGCTGATGTTTCGTGGTTTCATTTATCAATATTTATATTTATTTTTTTGATGTTTTTTGGCATGAGTTGTGCGCAAGCCATGTGTGCGTGGGAGAGAGAGAAGATTGTAGAGTAGAGAAAAGCCAAAAAGTTAGGGCAAAAGTTGTCAAGTTTTTGATTGAAGTTGATGCGGCGGCAACTGCAGCTGAGGCTGCTGGTGAGAGATGCTCAGAGGTGCTTAAGGACTAGCTTAAAATGAGAACAAACACACACAGGGATACACAGGCACACACAGGCACACACAGGATATAAAGGCTCTTAGAGAAGCTAAAGGGGAGTGGAATTATGGCAATTATAAATATTTTTGCAGCTTGCAGTTTTGGGTTTTAATTTTGTTTTGTTTTCGTATATTTTGCATGGGAAAAGTAGAACTTTCAGCAGGGTATAGTTCCGCCATAAGAGAGTCTCACTTCAGTGAGTCACTTCAAAAGTCTCTTAATCCCATCCTCAAATCCTCACCCATTAAAGTTCAATAATTGATTGATCAGAAAACTCTTTCGCTTTATCTTTCAGGCTTTAAATTGTGCATTTAAGTATGGGGAATGCTGTGGGCCCACAGCAATTGTTTTCATTTACCAGTTGATTGCTTTTCCACTAACGAGAGAGAGAACAACAATGCCGAAGTGCAATTGTTGTCTGTGTTGTCTGTTGCCCCTTCTACGGTATCCCAATTGTAATCGAATTAGAGGAGAGGCTGGAAAGGACATGCATACGCATACCATCGGGATGGGTGTATGTGTTTGGTGCTGGGCAGACCATGTAAACAGCCCATTAATTTATAATCAAAGAACTTGGCAGGGACTCGCTCCTCCAGAGTGCTGTCCCGTCCCGTCCACTTGGCTTGGCTTTGGGTTTGGGTTTGGGTTTGGGCTGGGTTGCAGTTGGCAAACATCTTTGTCTGCTACAAATTGTTGCATATTTAAGCACATCCATTCACGTTTACTCCTCCATCCCCCACAATTACTCCTTGTCTCCCTGCTGAAGAATGTCCGCAGCTCTTTTGCTCATGCAAATCCTTCCTAAAAAAAGGATTCAAATACTAACAACCTTCGAGCATTCACACGCTTTTGGCTTTCGCTTTTGGCTTTGGCTGGGCTCTGCTGCTTGCTGCTGGCTGCTGCTTTGTGTGCCAAATCGTTGGGAAATTTATTGGAATTTGAATTTCAAAATAGTCGATAAAAAAATAGAGAGAACGAATCGAAAAATCGCCGCATCGAAATGGTTTTCTTTTTTTTGCTGGCCAAATACCAATGTGTGAATGTCCCCCCTGGTCGCTCCCCTTCCTGCTCGGCACAAATGTAAAACGTAAATCCTTTTTAACAACTGCTCTTTAACATATTCCTCCTCTTAGTCCATGCCTCTTCTGGGTGGCGGTTTCTCTTGGCCGTGTGAACATTTCTAAGCGCGTTTGTCGCCATCCTCCAGCGCCTCGACTCGGATTTCGTTTCTCCTTCGCTTTGGCATCTGCATAAACTTGACCCAAAAAAAGTGGAGAAACAGAGGGGGAGAGGGGAGACGCTGGGCAAGGGCTGACTCTGTTGCAAGCCGGAAAGCCAAGTGGAGAATGAATCCTTTTTTCTTGAAATATTTCCCTTTTTTTGTTATTTGGTAGATTTTTAAAGATTTTTTTTGGCTCATGCTTTGCGACCACTCTCGTAGTTTATGGCCAATACGTGAGGCTGTCTGTTCGTGTGTGTGTGTGTTTATTATGCGCATAACTTAATTGTGTGTGTGCCCCGCCTACACACCGTACGCCTCCTCCCTGTGCACCTCTCCTCCTGGCCCTCTGTTTATTGTTGCTTCTGGTGATAGTTTTTCCCCCACTGTTTTTCAATTTCCATTCTCCTCTCTCCCACTCCCGCCTGCCCATTCCCATTCCCATTCCCATCTCTATCTCTCAACTCAACAACTTAATCGTTTTTGCGTTAAGCATACGCACTGTTGGACTCCACTTTGGACGCCACCTTTTTCCACACACAGCCACAACCCACGCACAAGATGCAAATTTTCTTCTCCCTGTGTAAGTTTTTCTTTTGTTTTTGCCAACCCTTTTTCGCCCCTCGCTCCCTCTGTCTGTCTGTTATTCTTGCTGCTGGCTGCTGGCTGCTGCCCTCTCTCTCTCACTCCCCCTTGCTCTCTCTCTCTCATATCCTTTTTGTTTTAGTTTGTTATGCTAAGCCCGTAATAACCCATTTTTTGTGTGTTCGTTCCTTAGTTTTTAGTCAATTTTCGGAAACGTCGAAAGTAAACAAATTGCAGATGAGTTTATCCCACAAACACATGCACACAAAGGCACACACACACACACACATCTCCGGCTACACTTGGAAAAAATATGAGGCATGTCAGAGGGGAGTCGATGAATTTTTACAAACATTTCCAGAGCAATTTTCTATGCAAACATTTCTCCATACAAAAAGTATTCCCCATTGTTCAGAGCACAGCAGTTTATCCATAGTTATCCTCATTTTCTCTCACTGCAACAAAACAAGGAGAACAAGGCAGCCCAAACAAGGACTTAAAACATATAAAAAGTAGTAGCAAAAGCGAAAGCAAAAGCCAAAGCGCTTATCATTTGTTGCCTTTTGGCTGCCTTCGCCTTGGACTCTCTCCACTGCCACTGCCACTGGCTTTCTCTCATCTTTTAAACTCCATTTCCACACTATCTAGCAGCTATCCAGCTACCATTTTCACATGCTCCTGTAGTGACTCCCAAATCCACTTAGTGTGTGTTTAGTGCTCTGAAGTGTGCTCAGTCCTTCGACTCCTGCTGCTGCTCCCTGCAACTCCCTTTTGCTCGTTTGCTGTTGCAGAAAAATCCTGACTCATGTGATTTATCTGATTTCCCAATAGCAGAGCCCTGTAGCCTTGCTTATCCGCCCGCTTGCCACCTTTATTTCCTGGAGCCCAGCCAGCACGAGAGTCGAGCGCCATGAACAAGGTTTTTATGGCACTTTGAATAAGTTTTCCTGTCATTGGCGAAGCATTTATTGCTCCGCCCAGCCTAAAGGCAAACTGCACTACGAGCATTTCAACGCGAAGATAAACGAAAGATGTGGGCCCCCAAAAGGATTCGAGAGCAGATTCCAGCCATGCAGATGCACGGATAAAATGGAGCAAAGAGGAAACTGGCAAGGCCTATTATTTCCGCTTTAATTTCGAGATCATTTAGCAGTTTTTTTGGCAAGTGTTTCTATAAAATTCGCTGCTCAAATGTTAACTTAAAGCCGCTCTAAGCAAGCCCCTACATGGCGCACAAATTACTTAACTTACGCTCATTCATACATTTCTTTCATTCCCTTTTTGCCCCACAAATTTGTCGTGTATCTGCATGTGTGTGTTTGTGTATCTCGGATATTAATCAAAATCGTTTATGTATATTCATGAAGTAGCAATTTGAATAATCTGCTAAAAGCTTTGTGGGATAATCGGCTACCAGCTCTCATTCCTTTGGTGTTTTATCTCCCCCCTTTGTGGTTTTTGCTCTCCCTCCCTCTCTGTCCCTTCCGTTGTCTCTTTTGCACTCTTTGCTTTAATGATGAATTAAAGCCATTTACATGTGTGTGTGTGTGTGTGTGTGTGTGCGTGTCTGTACATCTGACAAAAGACCAAACAAAAGCGCTCAACTGACACAAAAGTCTGCATAATCAATCAGTCAGTATGGGTCCTACAGCCGCCCCCCTTCTTGGGCCACTCTTTGGCCCTGTTCCTCCTTGCTCTCTCATTGCTGATTTTATAACCTTCTTCGCATGTTAACAGCTGAGAGCAGAAAAAGGAGGAGAGGCGGAAGAGGAGGCAGACGCTGCCTGGCTGCCTGCTTCTTGCTTACGCAGCATTTTGGCGCCTGGCGCAGACTTCCTTCCGGCCAGGACCGCCGCTCATCGAATGCCGCTCCACAGCTCCCCGCCGCCTTCCACCATGTGGACTTCCCCCCTAACCCCTTTGATCACTCACTTATTTGCTGCTGCATTTTGCATTGCACAAAAGTCAGTACTTCGGCCTGCGAGTGGTAGTGGGGGGTAGTGGGGTTCAAGTTTTGTGAGTTTGGCAAGTGTAAAAGCTTTTAGACATACAAATACGAACACACATGGATAGTAGTCCTCTGGCACACACACACACACACACACACACAGATGCTTATGCACACACATGGCAAGGGGTTGGGGTTGGGGTTGGGGCTACAGTTGCATGCAGCCAAGCTGTGCATAAGCTGACATCAATGTAATGAAGATGTATTTGCATATTGTAGCACTGTCAGTCCGTGCCACTACCCCTTACCCCGCATCCACTCAACCCTCCAAGCATCTGTCGCTTGTAGCATCTGCTGCTGCCTTCTGCTCCCTCTTCCATGCCCTCCACTGTTGGCCTGGCTTTTAGTTTGCTTTGCTTTTGATGGCACTCATGGGGGATCTACGACTCGTATCTGCTGCTGCTGAATCCTTCCATTGCTGCGAAGCCTCTTCCATGTGTCCTGCTGCTCCTTCCCTATCTACTGGTAGTTCTGGTTCCGCTAGTTCCCTCGCTTCTGCTGCTTATTTTCTTCTCCACTATTATTATTGTTGCTACTTTTTATTGGCATGCAATAGTTGCTCCTGCTGCTGCTTCCCCCGTCTGCACAATCTCTCCCAGCTCTTTCCTGCTTATCTTTGGACAGCTGTGCCTTTCGTTTTGGCATTTCCAAAATGTTTTCTTTCCAGCATTGCTTGCGATTATGATAGATACACTTGGGGAAGGGTATAAGGAATTTTTCTTCAATATATTTTTAAAGATTTTAGGAACAGTTTTTGGCGTCACTTTTCATACATTTCAGATTTCTTCTATGCACAACCCTAAGCTATTTTTACCCTTTTTCCAGTGCCCTTTTCTGCGCTGTTTCTTCAAGTGTATTTCCCTAGTTTTTGTCTCTTTTTGTTCGCTGCCTGCTTCTGCGTTTAACCTCAGGGCAAACATTGACATCGCATCGCATATCCGCCTGACCATCAGGCTTGTCATGTTTTCTTCGCTGTGTCTGTGGGTGTGTGTGTTTTTTGGTGTCTCCCTTTTTATTGCATTTTATATGCACGCACCAAAGCGCAAAGAGCAACGCAGAGAAGCCAGCAGCCAAACAAAAAAAGAGAACCTCCAGCTAACAATATTCAGCAGGCTAAAAAAAACAACATTCTGGCAATAAAACCCCAAAAAAATACAACAAACAGCAGCAAAAAAAGTGTGGTATTTTTTTGCGGGTTTTTGGTGCTCATAAAGCGTAAAGATAACACACACACAGACACAGAGGCACGCCACACGTGCCTCATCTCGCCTCATAGTTGTGGCCACAACAGATACACAAATACAGAAATATTCCAAGAGAATATTGCGCATACGAGACGCTGGCGCTTTACAGTCACTGCCGACACTGTACCGCTGCCACAGTTACAGTTGCCACACACATAGCAGCTCCAGCTCCGCCGATCCGCAGCCGCATCCGCATCCAGGGGGGGGGGGGGGCTGTTCATCTTTCGCTTTGGTTCAGCGTTCAGGCTACGGTTCGGTTTTTATTATTTAATATTTTAAAACACTTGCGGGGTGTTATTGGCATTGCAACACACAAACAGTCAGAGCGGCAGGAAGGCAGAGGGACCACAAATATATAATAAAATACACATAACAAAACATGCGGGGCCATGCGGCAGAAAATGGATTCCTTCAACGCTCCCTGCCGTCCCACCCACCGTTCAAACTGCCAACGTGCAAAATTCGAACACACTCAGAAAGCACGAACAGTCAGAGACAATTTGGGCAGAAGAAAAAGGCAGGGACTACACTTGAGAGTCGCAGATGGAAATACACTTGCAGGAAGTTGAAATTGGGGATTGAATTTGGTTGAAATATTAAAATGAAGTGTTTATTGGCTGATTGTTTCACAGAAAATTATGTGATCCAAGATCTGCTCGAAGATTATGTTTGCTAGCAGCCAAAAGAGGGATCTGTGCGGGGAAGTCTTCAGCTGTTCAGCTGTTCAGCTGTTGATTTCCCATTACAAAATATAATCAAATCTACTTAAAGTATTCCTTGGAGATCCTTTTTTGCTTGCCTTCGCCAAGATCTTCCCTAAGTCCCAATACCCTCGCTCCATTCCAGAGTACTGCTGCCAATCTGCAGCTGCCAAAGGGCAGAAAGGTTCCTTCCACTCTCCTACTCTACTCCTTCCACATCTGTCCTGCTTTTGCGGCATTTGCTGCTTGTTTGCCGCTTAAAGCAAAACTTTTTTTTGTGGCCAAAGACTTAAAGCCCAAGCCAACAGCTCGCACAAAAATATGAAGCTGATACACATGGATGAAATATTATTGCTTATTTGTGACATGTTTCAAAACACACAGACAGAGAGTGTGTGTGTGTGTGTGTGACCCTTGGACAGTGTTTATAATTAGCATGGCCAAAAAGGATGCCCTCTAGGACGCCTCTCTAGTGCTTAAGTTGTCATAACCCGAAGAGACCCAAAGCAAAGCCACCCAAAATGCCATTTTGAGGGTGAAAGTTTTGTGCCCTACTTTGACATAGGCACTGGCGGGAGACCTTTCTTACTCTTTTTCTCAGACCTTCCTCCCCCGCCATATCCTCCAACATCAGCAGCAGCTTAATGTGTCACAAAATTGCAAACTTTCTGGGCAAAAGTTTATCAATCAAAATGAGGAAAACAAAACAAGGAAAACCCTCTAACTAAATCTGTTTGGAATCTGTGTTTCGGGTGTTTTTTATTGGCTCTACAAGGGGAGGGATCTGTGGATTTTCGGGGATTTTTTGAGTGAGTTTTGGGCTTTGAAAACATGGCCTTGGAGATGCATCTTTCAGCTCATTCTTTCTGCATCATTCACTCGCATTTATTGCTCGCTTCTGTTAGAGACATTTCCATACATTTATTCGCCCATTCATACACTCATTTACTGATTGTTAATCTATTCATTTAATCCTTCAAGAGGCACTCACCTAAATGCTGATCAACACGCTTCTTGGGCTTCTGCACGGATGCATAGGGATCGCTGCAGTAGTCCTGTCGGGACGGATTCTGGCTGTTCCTCAAATTGTGATACTCATCGCCCACCTGGCTGGGTGTGGCCGTCAAGTGTGGATATGGTGCGTAGTCATCGACGGCGCCATAGCCGCCATGGGTCAGTGGGTCGTAGCCGTAGGTGGGCTGCTGTTCCACATATTGATTGAGCGGTGCCTGCACCATGCTCTGCTGATTGCCCACCGCTGCCGCGGACATCTTCACCTGCCACAACGAGTCCTGGGAGTTGACACTGCCGCCGTTGTTCGAATTCGAGTAGTTGTTCTCCATGTAGCCCATGTTGACCCCTGTAAAGAGAGAGCGAAAAAAAAGTATGATGAATGTTTCAGAGCAAGGACAAAGTAGTTCAGGGATGTGATTCTCTGGCTCTGTGCCCAAGCGACACAAACGAGCGAAAGTTTCGACAATCAAATAAATTGTAATTAAAAGTTTAAGTTAAAGCTAAAGTTTTACTTTTATTTATTGATTAAAACATAAAAAATTGCCACCAAAATGGCAGCTCCAGCGTGGAGTTGCGGCGTCAGACATGTCCTAATTAATAGTTGCCTTAAAATCTATCCAAGACTCATAAAACCTTTCAAGCTCTCCCCCTTCTAAAGGACATTTTTACGAGGAGGCATGTCCGCACGGCGGTGCCTGTTACGCTGGAGCAGCTGCTGCTCCTCCATGGAGCGGCATTTCCTACTACTACTTCCTCTTGCTGGTGGTACTTCTGTTCCTCTTTCATGCCTTGGCACCTCCTCCTGCACTCATTCATTGTTCCCTGCTGCTCCTTTGTTGGGTGTTGCGTGTGCCTGCCTCACTGGCTGTGTCCTGGTCCTCGTCGTATTTATTATTATTTTTATATCGTGATAAATCACTCATAAATATTAAACGCACGCTTTGCTGGCAACACAAAAACTTTTTGAATTTTGAGTTGTGCGCAGCGCCATGAACGGCGGAAATGTGTTCCCAAAAGTGTTTTCTCAGGAAAAATAAAACTTCTTTCCAAGAACTAATTTTCTACTTTATTTTTAGGAGCATCTTTCAGTTGGAAATTAAACTGCTAATGAGGATTTGGTTATTACTTTTAGTGGCCATCATTATTGCTCTATTTCTCAAAGAGTTTTCCCCTGCCGCTGCATATTTTTTAGCATTTATTCTCTTTAGCATTTCCTCTCTCAGAAAACACCAAAAGTTTTGCTAGTTTTCCTGTTGGCATCCTCCGTTTTCGGAACATTTTTCGTTGCGCATCGAAAAGTATGCAATAAAATATTCGATTTGTGCGAATTTTTGTTCAGATTGAGTGGAGAAAGACCCAAGTAGAGTAGAGCAGGAGGTCAGAGGTCCTCATGGGAATGATTCGCAGACATGTGCGTGGCTTTTAGGTTCAGTTTTATGACAAGTTTCCTGGCGAACTATTCGCGTGGTGTGCCTTTTTTTGGCGGTGGGGCGTGATAATTTTTATGATTATCCATAAAACTAAAACAGTAATAATATTAACTTCATTTACATTTCATGCGCTGTTTCTTCTATTCTATGGCCCCATGCGATTTGCATATTTGCTTCAGTCATTTTATGCCAGCAGATTCCGTTTCGTTTCTTGTGGGAGTAATTCTTGTATTTCTGGAGAAGAATTCCTTCCTCCAAGAGCAATTCCACGGGCAGGCAGGAAAAAATATGAGCGGAGCACTGAAACTTTTCAATTGGATAAGCATCAAAAATACGGAGAATCTTTTGCAAACGGATGAGGAGGAGGCAAGGCAACTTTTGATTGCTCAAGTTTTTGCCTGCCTGCCTGCCAACACAATGAGCAAAATATTTGACCGAAATAACAAAATTTCCACTCTCTTGGTGCTACCAGTTGGCAGTCTCTCCCTCTCTCTATTTTGTGTACCCTTTCACATCAGAGGGTAATACGAGTTGAGCAAGGGGTTTGGCCTTGAAGGAAAGGAAGTGTTGGGCAGTCGTAAGATCTGTGGAATCTTCTAGGAACTATTTCTCGCATTGTATGCCTGTGGTAATCAATTATTTATTCCTAATAAGAATCCCTTTAAATTGTAATAAACTACAATTTGGCGTGTTTTTATATCCCGACAAAACCAGATGAAATTTTCGAATTTTATTCATAAAATAATCATTCTCCAGGGTATCTAAAGCTTCGTTCTGCCTTCGATAAGCATTTACCCACTTGTTTTGCCAACCACTGATGAACAATTTTAATGCATTTCCATTGTCTGGGAATGGAACATTTCGCAGTTGTGTTGCCTGCTTCAACAGCAGGAAAGAGCGGAACTCCTTAAGAAATTAAATGGGAATTTGGCAGTTAAAGGGGAGGTTGGGGTGGAAGTACTTGCTCCTCGAAGTAGTGTGTGTTTGTGTGTGTGTGTGTGTGTGGCACAAATCGGGGACGCAATTAAAGTTTGTCAAAGTTTCGTCCGCATTGATTTGTGCAAATAACAACAACAGTTGCGGCATAGTTCTGGATCCGCAATAACGACTAGCAGCAGTCCCAGTCGCAGTCCTGCTTCCCGCACTTCATGTGATTACCCCCTGCCCACATCTTATTGCTTATTAAACCCGTTCCCTGCCCGGACTCTCAGCAGCAGTTTGTGTGTGTAAAAACCTTTTCATGTAAACAAGTTCTGGGACGACCCACAAAAGTGCTTGAGAAGGGGGAGGAGTAGGAGCAGCGGTTAAAGTTTCTCTGCCGCCGAAGCTCTAATTCACTCGACAAACTTTTCAACCGGAAGCGCTTACAATTATGCAACATTTTTGTGCAGCAGCAACAGCAACAGCCAGCAGATGAAGGAGAGGCGCAGGCAGATGGCAGATGAAGAGCAAAAGGAGAGCAAAAGCACTAGAATACGCACAATAAAAACAGTTTCAAATGCCATTAACGGTTAACTAAATAGCATGGCACCAGAGAGCGCACCAGAAGGAGAGCAAGAGAGCGCCACTGAGAGTTGGCACAACTTTTGCTCCACTCACACTTGCTGCCTGCTGCCTAGCACTTGGCTTCTCGGCCAGCTTGCACCTCAAGCTCTCGGGTGTTAATGGCAGTCGCCTCCTTATCTGCCTTCCGTCTCCTCCTCCTCCGCTCTCTCTCTCTCTGTCTCTCTGCCCTAACCCGCTCTCTTCATCGCTGCTCGACCTTTTCTGTTGCTCTGCACCCTGTGCTGCTGCTGCTGCTGCTGCTGCTGCTCCTTGTTGCACTTTTAATTAGCGACGCGACGCGACGCGATGCGAGTCGAGTCGAGGCCCGAGGGTCGTAAGGCAGGGGCAGAAGGCTGCCTGGCATTTGCCCTAAATGCGCTTAAATGTTGCAGGAACAACCAAAGGGCCGCACGAGGAAAGTGTGCTGGAAGGGGGAAGTGGAACAGGAGGGGCAGGACTAGGCACGTTGAGCTGCTGTTGAGTTTTCTGCACTTGCCGCCGTGTTGCACTTTTCTACAGGCATGTTTTTTGCTTTTACACTTAGAGAAACTCAGTTGAGAAATTCTACAAAATTGTACAAAAGTACAAAAATAATTTCTAGAAAGTGGAGAACATTTTTTCCTAGCTACCAGCCAAAAAATGGCAGTTCCGAAACACTTTTCAATATACTTTTAGATACTTTTAACAATTCCAGAAAGCCATTCAAGGACGCACATTTTTCAACTGCTTTTAAAGACTGTTTAAAACATTACAGAAATTCCACAAAAACTGTGATTATTCTTAGAAGAAATGACTTAAAAAACAGCAAAAAAGAAACATTAAAGACATATCTTCCATTTAAGTTAAATTTAGTTTAATTGAATTACAAATGAAACCTCGTTCCTTTTCTGCAGTGTCCTACAATCTTTTGTTTCCATGTTAATGTTGGTGTTGCCGAGTGTTCTATAGGAAGGGAGTGGGAGTGGCAGTGGCAGTGGGCAATGGGTAGTGGGAGAGGCCTCTGCCTAAAGTTGTCCAAAAACTTTTGCGCTCTCGCAGACTCAACCTCAGCCTCAGCCTCAGCTTCACTTTTCCCCTTTTTGCTGTTTTTTCTGCTCTCTATTTCTTGTAGCTGTGTGTTGAAAGCATGAATGAAAACTCGAGGGGGGGGGTTAGCAAAGAGCAAGGGGCCCGCCAAAGTGCAGTACAACATTTTTGTAAGGCTGTTGGTTACGACCTGTAGATACGGCGGCCCCAGGGCGACTTCTACCCTTTCCTTCTTTTTCCTTTTTTTTTTTTTGCCACCGATCTTTAGTTTGTTTTTAGTGATTTTTTTGCTGTTACTTGAGCGAAAGATTTTTGCTGGCATATCTTTTGAGTGGGGAGTCTATGGATTCTAAAGATAGTCGCCGTCCCGTCGCGGGTATTGAATATTTTAAATGAGACACAAAACTCTTGACCCTTTTTTGGCTTTGGCTTCTATTTTGCAGTGAAAGTTTTCCTTACTTTGAATGGGAAAGTTCGTTAAGGAGTGAGTTGCTTTGGATTTTAGGGGATGTTAAGGATGTGAAGCTTCTACCCACAGAATTATTAGGTGTATTCTGAGAATGTTTTGGTTCTGTTGATTCCACTTTCAAGAGAATTGGTAGAAAATAAATATAGAAAATATTTTTCATCTTTCATGCCTTTTTTTTTGTTACTTTTTTTACTTGTATCTGAAAGTATTCCCAAACTGTTTCCCTTAGTTCCCTTTCGCTTTCATCATACCCTTCCCTCTCCCTGCTTCACCCTTCCCTTTCAATTTCGCTGACTTTTCATTCATCAGTTAGTTGTGTGTGTGTGTGTGTGTGTGTGTGTGTTAGCAACTGTGTTTAGATTTAAGCCAATTAGCTTTGCTGGGCCGAGTGGCAGTGGCTGTAGAAAAAACAAAAGCCAGCACAAATTGGGAGCTCATAGATTTGTGTCTTTGAATGGTCATCCCGTACCCCGCCCCATCCACGGCTCTAGTGTGCGGTCAGACGGTCAGGCCGTGCCAAGGCCCCCCTACAATACGGAGGGGGAGCCGGAGGAGGTGGATCTTCGCTGAAACCGCCAGCTGTTTGGCTGGTTACAAGACAAACATGTTCGAGAGGCAATCACTGGGAAAAAGCGAGAGAAGAGAAGAGCCTAAAAGGCTCGGCTGCATGCAGCATAGAATGTGAAGCATGCCCCACCAATGCCCTTTCCCTCACCCTTCTGCCACCACCGTGGTTGCGTTTTTGGGGCGCGCAAAACTATTTTGCGGCTATTTGCTTTGCGGGGCCATCGTTGGCCATGTTGCCTGCATTTTAAGCCCCCATAGAAAGCCAGCAACAACAGAACCCACAGAATAGCAACCAAAACTATGGCCCAAATGGGTGAGGCCGGGGTTAGGGGTGGCCCGTCGACTGCCTAGTTCATGGCTTTATTTATTTAGCGAATAAATTTGTCGAGGCGAGCGCGAGATTCTTTCCATTTTATTTTCTATTCTTTTCACAGAAATTTTTGCAACGGCTGGTTGACTCTTGTGCATGCCCCACGCGACACACGACATGCCACGACATTTGTTTGCATTTATTTTTGGGTTTTTGGGTTTCCCATTTAGATTTTGTTTTGTTTTGTTTTCTGTTTGCATTTATTTGCCAGGACGAACGCGTTCCAGCCAATGTCTAGCCGTGGGCGTGTCGTCAGCTGGCACAGCCTCCAACTCAGACTCTGCCTCGGACGACGACTTTAGTTTCTATTTTCCCTCAGAGAGTGCAAAAAACTTTCAACGCACCACAAACTGCAAGAACTTAAATGGCGAAGCTGCTTCAAAACTTAAAGTGTTTTCTGCGGGGTAGATTTTTGGCTGATAGATGTTGGAGAGTTCCAAACTTCTTTCCCCAGCTAATCCTATATTTAGTCGCTTACTTTTGTCCACCAATTGCCCTGCTGTCCAGTGTAATCTTCGCTCTCCAATCCCACCACAAAGCAAATTCAACCACAGCGAGGCGACGACTCCATTTCCTTTGCCCTTTCCACCCATTCCCCCTCTGTCCGTAGTCTTCTCCTCTGCGTCTGGGCTGCACTTTCTCTGTCTGCAGCTCCGTTCGTTCGTTCGTTCGTTGATTGTTTTTATTGTCGTGGAGCTAGGAGTGGAGTGGGATGTGGGGGTTACATGCAAAGTTCATTAGGTATTTGGCCTACGACGAAAGCAATTGCCGCTTGCTGCTTGCCACGTGCGGGGAGGGGGCATGGGGCAAAACCGTTAACGAGCCCGAAAAGTGCAGGCAACTACAACAAATGGAGACCCAAACTCCTGCCTGCCGCTGCCACGTGGAGTCGCCGCGTCGAACGATTGTTCTGGGGCTGCGAAGGATTTTTGGGTTGTGCAGCAGCATCTGGCAAAGGACATTTTCGCTCTCTCGTTTGAGTTTGGGGACTCCTTAAGCGGCAATTAGCGCTTACAATGAAATGGATAGGCGGCAAGGGGAGGGAACAGGGCTGGGGCAGGAGCAAATGGAGTTTCCTGCATCGTTGTTTGTCTCGCCGCCTGCTCTGTTGTTGCCCCAACACTTCCCTGACTCTCACTCTCACTCTCCCAATTGTACTTCCTTCTCCCTTGGCGACTCTCTCCCTCTCTCTCTGCCCTTTCAACCCTTTATTATTCATGCCACTTTCACTTGGCAAATTAGCTGCTACTGCCACTGCCACACACACACACACACAGGCAATCCTTGCTGCTGCTGCTCCTGCCACATCTACTACTCCCTTTTGCCACTTAATACTCCACTTGTACCCACAGCCTCTACTCCTTTCTCTCTCTCTCCCTGTGGCAATCGTTTTTAAATGCAATTAAGTGGCAATGTTTGCTCTCCTTCTCTCTCTCCGCAGTGCCACTCACCAGCACTCTCTCCCTTTCCCCCTGTGCAGTACTTTGGCTCCTTGGCTAAGCGCCTTAACATTTTAATTGGCCTTCAAAAACAATTGAAACTGGAAATTGGCCCAAAAACTAAACACAATGATTGCCGCAGCTGAAAATCTGCCAGAGAAATCCCAACATTTTCAAGTAAACTTAAATGTTTGCGGGGATGAAAAAAGATTGGAAGTATATTCCTATTTGTATCTTTCTTGGGTATGCAGCTTTCTTTTTCATTGGGTTTCTGTGTAAGGTTTCCGATATATCCACTGAATGCCACAGATTCGAGTTTTACCTGACGAAATCTTTCCAAGAGAGAGTTCAAGATGTCTCTGTATTTTGCTTCCACCTATTTATTTTGGGTCCCACACTTCAAAGTTTCAGTAACTTCCTTCAACTTTCCCTCTAAAATCTCTTACAAAGCTTCAGCTACTAGTAACTATTGTTTTCCATCCCTGAGTTCCCTGAGTCTTCCACCAATATATTCGCCTTTTGTATTCCCTCCCCTTCAGCTAAATCAGCTTCTAGTTCTAGGGAAAAAATTAAGGAATTTTTTAATGTTCACGTCATTAGAAAATGCCAAGCGAAGCGCCACCTGCTCACCCTTGCTGCCTGCTTCCTGTTGCAAAACTCCTCTTTCCGCTTCAACGTTTCAAATGTGAAAGGTTAATACCTTTCCCCAGCCATGACACTGCCACACACACCCGGAGAGGGGCAATGTTTCAGGGATTTCCAACAAAAGAACTGTTGAAGGGTGGGGAGACGAGCGGTCTCGGCGGTTAAAAAAGTAAAGCGAAAACCAGAAACAACAATTAATAATGAATTGTATGGCGAATTGTGTAAAACCACAAGGCAACAGGGGGATGGCAGGAGGAGGAGCAGCCAGCCAGCCAGCCAGCGTCCAGTTTACGCATTCATTTTGTACTCCACACACACACACCCAAAGGGATGAGGGGAAGAGTGCCCTACAGTGGGGAGTACCAGTTGCCCCCTTTTTAAAGGACCACACAGCGTTGATGATGACGGGTACGACCAAGCACCAAGCACCAAGCACCAAGCACCAAGCGACATGGACTGAGGTCCTCCCACGCTGCAGAATGAATGGACGAGGACGTGCGCGTCAAGCAGCGACAGCCAGCAGCCAGCAGGCAGCAGGCAGCAAGGGGCGGCAACAATGAAATGGAAAGTATATTACAAAATGTTGAAAAGCAACAAACAAACAGCAACAACAAAACGAAAGAAAAAACGTTTAGAAAAAATTGCTGTTTCAACAAATTTACAACGGAAGTGGAAAGTGTTCCTCCCAGCCTCTCTCTCTCTCTCTCTCTGTCTCTGAGTGCGTTGCAACTCTCTCTCTGTGTGTGTGTGTGGCTGGTTGATGAATGCGGCATTGCCATCGATTTGCCACTCGAACTCCATTTTGCACTTTTTACCCACAAGCGCTCCCACTTTTCATGGGCAACGCAACAATCATTTTTTCTTTCTTTTTTGCCACACACACACCTTTGGCCAGAGTTTTGCCACCCACAACCGTTGGTGGGGCAGGCAGGTGGCACGGATTTCATTTTGTTTTGCGGACAATGAAAAATCACCGAAACGTACCAAGAGCCAAGCCGAGAGTCGAGAGTCGAAGCTAAGAGCCGCGTTCCTGAGTCTCCTCCTGTCCTGGACCGGAAGTATTTCTCACTTTGGTTTTTCGACTCTTCTTCTCGCTTCGATACTCTTTGCCTCGCTTCTGTTTTCATTTTCTTCTGATTTATGCTCCCTTTTTCTTCATTTTAGTTTTCTTATTGCACCTTTTGGTTCGTGTGCTTGAAGGTTCTTCCGATGGCAGGGTAAAAGAGGGGGATGGATGTAGAAATGGTGCTACATGTGGTGAATGGTGGATTCTGGTTAAGGTTGAAGTATTGGAGAGTATGCTAGTGGTAGAAGCTAGTAACGAGGAAGTTTCCTTCAAAATTTATACATATTTTCACAGAATTCTAATTGTGGTAATCGAGGCCACTTTGGGCATCGAACTTCCTACTACCCTTGCATAGTTCCTCTTCAACTTCCTTCAAATTTATCCATTGAAAACAATCCTTAAACTCCCCGCGCCAAAGTAGAGCATCTCGAAGTGCACCGAAAATACCTGCAGTGTTTTTCCATGACCCAAAAACCCCGCTTAGATCTATCTACGGCTATATTTGGGAGTGTTTCTGTGTGTACTTACATTCATTTCCTGGCATTGTGTGTCCTTGGAGACCGGGTATTCCATTCACACCGACGCCACTGCCACCGATGCCGCCAACGCTGCCGACGCCACCGCCACCGCCAACGCCACCCACACCGCCCATGCCGCCGACACCCATGCCGCTGACGACACTGCCACCAATGCCCCCAATGCCACCGACGCCGCCACCCATGCCGACGCCAACGACACCGCTGCCCGGGTGATAGCTGTAGCCATTCTGTGTGGCATACAGCGCCGTCTTCTGCTCCTCCAGGCTGAGGGCCAAGTCCATCGAGTGCTCGAGGGCCTTGTTGTCCAGTCCGCTGGCGGGGTAGTAGGGCGGCGGTGCCTGACTCTGCTGGGCGGCAACGATGGAGGGACGCACCGAGTCCATTTCATAGTCCTTGGCGGCGGCGCTCTTCTTCGATTGATTCCGCTTGCAGCGGCAGAACATGAGCAGCAGGCCGGCAAACAAAGCAAACACAATGCACGAGACGATTATAGCAATCAGTGTGGGCGTGGCCAAAGCACTAGCCTCCGCAATGTAGGGACGTCCAACTGGGGAGGGGGAGAGAGAGAGAGAATAAAGTCATGAAAAATGCATTCGCTGGAAGGTTTGAAGTGGATGGATGATGGCAGAGAGAAGGAGAATGCCGCTGCTGCTGCTGCTGGATAGCTGACTGTTTGAGTGATTGATTGATTGTCCATCCATCGAGCAGCAGCAGCAGCAGCATCACTCCCATTGAAGTGGTGCAATTGCTCGTAATGGCTCCATCCTGCAGCCTCTACTTACTCTCCGCATCCGTGTAGTCGCCACAATGTTCCAGATTATTGCGCAGACAGAGCTTCACGCGCACCGTCGGACTGTTGTTGTCATCCTCGAGGGCCAAAGTGTTCAGTCCCGCATCGTCCTCATCCTCGCTGATGGTGTGCCCCAAGGCACGACCTCCGCCAATGCGTCGAGTGCCCAGCAGTCGGTCAATGATCTTCTCCTTGTGCGTGGGTCCATTGCCAGACAGTTGCAGATTGTCCACCGTGTCCACCACTTCCCAGGCAGCGCGAGGCGTGTTCCCATGCACCATGGTCTCCACAATGGCCACCAGGGAGAGGCATGTGGCACCCACATCGATGCCCAAAGTGCGACTGCTCGGCTCGTAGGTCACCTGCAGCGGTGGGGGAATGCGACTCACTTTTGTCGTCACGAGAATCTCATTGGAGTAGGGCGAGCCGCTCTTTGGATTCAGTGCCTTCACCTTGAAGGCATAACTCTGATGCTGCTCGAGGGATGTCACCTTGCAGGGTATGTCCCGCTGGCAGTCCACCTCCACCCAATCCGAGTTGGAGTTGGCCAATGTGGCGCAATCGGGTATCAGTTGCTCCTCCCGTGGCATGGCCACACGGCGATAACTGACAAAGAACTTCGTCTTGCTCAAGCCTCCATCGAAGCCGGGATCCCAGCTCAAGGACACGTAATTGTGACCCACATCCATGGCACGCAGATTCGTGGGCTTCTCCGGGGGTCCCTTCTGCTGCAACCGGATTGGGGCACGTATCGTGTTCAAGCTGTTTGCCACGCGGCACGTGTACTCCCCGTAGTCCGAGTGGGTCAACGAATTGATGCGCAGCACTGACGTGTAGATATCATTCTTATCGGATGTCGTGCTAATCTCGTAGTGCCCCTCCGAGGACATGGTCAACGGGGACTGATTGTTGCCATAGAGCCAGACGAACTCCGGCTTTGGGTATGCCTGCACCTTGCACACAACCTCCGCCGTTTCCCTTATGTCAAATGCCACCTTGTTGTACTGGTGCAGGACAATGGGCTCATGTTCGATACGCAGCTGCATGGAGGAGTTGGCAGAGTTCACCTCATTCTGGTAGAGGCACGTGTACTGGCCCCGATCTCCGGGCACCAAGTCGTTGCCATTCGGGCGGGCCTTGCCCCTAAACTTCAACTGGCTCTGCACTGTGACCATGCCATTGAGGCCCTGATCGGGATTCGTTTGCACCTCGTACAGGTTCACCTCGGGTATAATTTCCACATCATCCTTCAGCCACTTGACACTGGGCGCTGGCTTGCCCTTGGCACTGCATGTCACCGTGTAGTCCGTGTCGCCTACGCGCCTTGTCATGTGTTGCTGCAACTTGGCCAAGAACTGTGGCGGCTGATGGATCTCCAGCACAATGGTGGCCATCATGCCAATGCCCAGCTCATTCACCGCATGACAATGATACTTGCCCTCGTTCCCGAGATGCGCCTTGGGTATGGAGTACTGCGGTCCCTGAGCGAGGATCTTCTGGGTGCTCGAGAACTCCCCATCCATGTCGCGGAACCAGCGATACTGCGGCACGGGCCAGCCCGGGGGATTGGCTGAGCAGGTGAGTGTCACTCCGTTGCCCACATGGACCACTGGCTTGTTGGGTGTAATGTACGCCTGTCCGGGGCGATGTCGGACGAGCAGCGCCACTGTGGAGTTGCCTATCCGCTCGCTGCGCTCCTGTCCCTGGCTGTGCATTATGTTGACCGCCCGACAAATGTAGTTCCCGGCATGTTCCGCGCGCACCGAAGCGAGTGTCAAGATGTCCCCGTTGTAGCGAAAGTCTGGAGCTCCCTCCTTCAGCCACTCGATGGTGACGGGTGAGGGATTCGAGGTGACATTGCAGCGTATCGTCACCGTTTCTCCCTCCTCCGCCTCGCGCGTCTTCGACTCAATGACCACCGTGGGGGGATAGAGTATGTCCAAGATGAGCTCCTGCTCGCCCGTCTTGCCCAGTCCATTGTCCGCGCTGCACGTGTACTTGCCAGCATCCTGGACACTCACCCGGTGGATCGTGTGTACCAGCGAGGAGCTAATGAAGCGCCCGTTGCGTGTCCACCGAACATTTGGCACTTTTGGCTTTGCATCGACATTACACTCCAACTTGGCAGTGCGGTCACGTTCCACGCGCAGCGGATTCTCCGGTCCAACCTCCACTCGGGGATAGTCTGCAAGGAGAGAGAGAGAGAGAAGCGAAAATTAGTCAAGGAAGAAGAGTGTGTGGGGTGGCATGTCCCTCTCGTAAATCAAAGGAACCGCAAAATGATGAAAATTAATAAACACGCAGGCAGCGCACAATTTCGGGGGCAACTCGGAAACTTTCCTCTAATTGAATTAGTCATGAAAAAGGATCGACAGGAGCAGCAGTGGCAGGTCCTGCAACTGATAGCTATGACTTGGAGGAGCCCGCTGATTAGGGACTCGCTCGCTGTGTACTGTGTTGTCTGATTAGACACGAAATTTGTCAATTATTAATTAAACTAATGAAGTCCGACCCTCTTCCTCTTTGCTGAGTTACAGAAAGAAATGTCATTAGCATTAGCGGTAGTAGATGGTGATGCTGCCTCGATAATTTTGGGAGTGATACATTGAGGAGTTAACTGATTGATTTGGAGGTCAATTTAAGGTGTATCTGAGGCTACATTTACTCGCATCCGATATCGAGGTGTGAAGCCAGCAAGTAGTTCAATTTGCTTTTATTCATTCAGATACTTTAAGCACACAAAACAGACCCTAACTCAACTCTGTTTCCACCACAATTTCCAAGTGTTTGCACAATTGTGAAGAGCCCAAATCTGTCACAGAAGTCACTCCACCAAAATGTGTCACAGCAGTCAGTCACTCCTCTTACAATAATCAACTTATGGCAGATGACACTACAAATTTGAAGTCAGCTTCAAGTTCATCTCTTACATTTTCATCATTTACTAATTTCCCCAGCAATTTACATTTTTGCCCTGAATTCATCTTCAAGTTTTCATTGCACGGCAGGCGGCAGACGGCAGACGGACGACTGCAAGTCATAGTTCCCCGTACCGTTCCATCCCGACATTAGTGGCCTCTTATGCACCGCAAATGGCGTTAAATGATGTCTTCTCCTGTGCCTTGTGGCGGTGCCAACCACTTTGTAATTAACTGCCCCACGGATAAGTGTCGCCACAGCTTGGAACTGCCCCTTACAGCGAGGAGTTTGCTAAACGAACTGCCTGGCGACTGCCTAATGACTTTGTCCATAAACTTCACCCCACTCCGCCGTGTGCCTTTGCATTGATGGAAGCCTCAGAGAAGCGATGAAAGAGAAGAGGCGTCAGAGAGAACCACTCTTAGTCTGCCGCAGTCCCAAGAAATTGGAGCACAACCCGAACCACCGGACACTGCCACTCCACGAGCTCCAGCTCCAGCTCCATCCCTCGGCTCTGCCACTCTGCCTCTCTGCCTCTCCGCGATGTCTGCCCTTTCCTCTGTCTCTGGCTGCCTTCAGCGCGTAAATTATAGTAAATTGCGTGATTCTGGAAGGGGTTTTGGCTTCTTCCAGGTGTCTTCTGCCACATCTTCCACTTGGAATTGGACCTGGACTTGGACTCTTCTCTTTTGCGTGTTTATGTGCGTGTAATTACATTTGATTGTGTCTGAAAGCCACAGCCCAATGTGGAACCAGAACAAGCAGCATAACCCGAACCCATTAAAGAATTGTTAGCTTAAATCAAGACCCGAGATCGGCGGCGGCGTTTTCGTTTCGCTTTTTGTTTGCTTTTGTGGCTCAGTTTTTGTGGCTTTACCCTCACGTCTAAATGGCTTCAAATTGGCTTAATTGTCACTTTTGTGAACATGTTTTAGCCACAAAAAAGAAAAAAAACAAAGCCATTACACACTGCACATTCTACACATTTTTGAGAGCCAAAAGGCATGCAACAAACAAGAGGCAGAGGCAAGGGGCAGCGCCACAAAACTGACCTAAAAATAGGTCTCCCTACTCCTTGCCCGATGATTACTTTAAAATGGAACCTACGGCGGCTCGAGGGGCGGTAGCAAAGAAGTTCTTTAGGGCAGAGTTCCGTTCAGTTCCGTTCCTACAATTATTTCCCCACACTGTTCCCCTTCGTGTTCATAAATAATCAAAGGACTTCGCGCTGGAAAAGCGTCCGGCAAAAAAAGAAACAATTTTATGCGTGTTTTGCATATAAATTTGCTGCTGATTCTTTTGCGGACATGCCCCGTCCCGCTGCCGCCTCAAATTATGTACGCAAATAATTGAATTAGTTTACAGAGTCCCTCTCCCTTACCCCCCCACCATCAACCATCACCCATCAACCATCAATCCCCCCCTCCAGCGATGGAGAATCGTGTTAGAAATATTTTTCCAATCAATTGCCAAATTGTTGGGCAGTTTCTGCCTCTCCTGCCTCAAAGATCTCTCCTCCTTCCTCTCTATAAATTCTCTTTTCCTGGGAAAAAAAAGTATTCCTGTCCTTCAATAAGTTCTCGCTCGTTCCAAGTACGCCTCCCGGCTGTGCCCAATCCCAAACAATTCGTTCACTTGGAAAATACTATTAACAAACACAAAGGGGAGACCCTCCGAAGGGAGGCTATATTTTTAACAGAGGCCTCCTGAACCTTCCTGCTGCCGCAGTTTACAGTTTGGGAATCCTCTTTACACTCCAGCAACCCTCGCCCCTCACCATTCAGAGTCCAGGACCCTCTTTCCCAGGCAATCTACTCTTCGGAGAACTTATTTCCCCTCCACAAGTCCAAGAGTCCAAGACCTCCGCTTCCTCTATCACAATTTCCCGAAAAAATAAAGTGAAAAAAACATTAAAATAAACTTTAGTTTGGATCTGGAAATGTGAAACAATTTATAAAGCTATAATCAGCCCCGATCCCCCTCGCGAATTAAGAAAAACGAGGGCCAACTAAATTTAATTTTCAATTTTCACATCTCGTAACTCAATTTTAGAGCGGAGAAAAATGTGTGCAAACGTTAAGCGAAGTCTTAGATACACTAATATAAGCAGACACACTTCTTGGAGCTAAAATATGTAGAGAAAAATTCACAGAATTTGCTGGATTTTAATGGTAAAACACCGAGAAATTCCCACTTTACAGGTAAATCCTCTCGTAGTCCCTTTACCCCTTGAAAGCGTATAAAAAAGTGACAAAAATCTAATGCAATTAGTGGAGGGATCTCTGTCGTATCTTTTGCTCCCTAAGCAGCAATTAGTTTACCAGGGACCCTAATTTCAGGGAGTTTTCAGCTACAGCATTCGAGGATTTTCCACCTCCAGCACTCGCGATTAATTTTCACAGCAGGTGGGAAAGCGGTGGGGAAAAGGCAAAGTAACTACGAGAATGAGCAATAAAATTAGCAACAGCAGAAAGCTAATATTAATTTTAATTTTAATTGCAACAAAGCAGCAAAAAACACCCAAAAAAGACAAAGAGACAGAGGGAGAGGGAGAGATAGAGCTGCGGAAAAAGGGAATCTCTCGAAAGAGTGAACAGAAGAGAAATCCATTAAAAATAATCGACAGAGCTTTAACAGAGTTCAAGTCAATGGCCATTGCTTAACTTGGCCAAATCCAATTTGGATGTGTGTGGCAGGGCAGAGGGGGGGGGGGGGGGGGGGGGGGGGGGGGGGAGGCAGTAGGGACAGGCACGCGCTTCAGGCCACAGGCCAACGCGAAAAGCACAGCCAAAAAGGAGGCAAAAAGCAGCAGCAAAAGCGATTTGATATGGCCAACAAGCGGGCTAGGGCTACCCCCCGCCCAAACCAAGGAAAACCCCACAAACTCTCACGCGAAAATTGCCCCGAGCCGAAAAGATAAATGATAAGGCGAATAAGCCACACGATTGGCAGTGCCACAAGGCTCTAGGCAGGCAGGCAGGCCTTTGCTTCTGCGCTGCGTCTTGTCTTTCCTTCATTTGTAACTAATGAATGTTAAAACTTTAAAAAACGAAACAACCAATAAATTACAGTCCTTTCATTTGCGGAGAAATGTACAGCCCAGAGTTTGGACTCTGCCAGCTCTTCGAGGGATCTCTCTCGAGTTCTATCTTTTTGGAGTTCTTCCTCTTTGAGCTTCCTCTCTGCGGCATCTTCTTCCCCTTGCTGATGTTTGCCATGATTTTCATCATCTACTAAATGTTTTTCTTTTGGCCTTTCAAGTTTTTCTCGTTCCTCAAAGCCTGCTGCTGCCGCTGCTGCCACATATGGATGCTGCCAGCCTGCCACCAGATGGTTTGCTTTGGTAACTTGTTAGTTTTCTTTAGTGGCCCTTACAGGGAGAGGTGGAGGAGAGTTCCTATAGATTCATAGATGATACTCCAGCAGAGACATAGATGGAGATGGCCCTGGCCATTGGCTGTCTCTCTGTGTGTGTTGCCCGGCTTGTTTTGCTATTAAGTCAAGAATTTTTATAGCATTTAGTTGGAAAAGCTCAACATATTTCCACTCCAGAATCTCCACTCGAGAGGGGAATGCTGTGGGGGCTGCTCTACGCATAACTCGTGCCTGCTGTCAGCGCATTTGAGCTATGAGCTCTGTGTGGTTTCTGGTCTCTGGCTTTTTATTAGTTTCTTGTTTGCTTTTCCCTCCGTCCCTGCCCCCTGTCTGTCTCTGGCTGTGCGGCTGAAAGTGGTTTTCGGACCATACACACACACACACACACACACACACATTTCTGGCTAACTAGTTACTAAATTGAGCGCATAAACTAAAACAACTGCGGCCCCACCGCAGAGGAGGCCGAAACCAGAGCCAGAGCCAGAACCAGACCAAAAGCAAAACCAAAGAGGAAACTGGCTGGTAACTGCTCATAAATTACAGGAAGACACTAGTCAAAGAGGAGGTAGAGGGGAGTAGCCAATGGTGGACAGTATTTAGCAATCACATTAAGTCCGAGAAAAGAACAAGAAAATCGTTTAATTGAACACCAGAAACCAGTCGGAGAGACTTCAACTTGAAGTTCGAAGAGACTTCGAGACGCTAACGATACGCGGAAAAAAAGAGACACAAAGGCACTCAGCCCCAAAGATGCTAGATACAAGATACAAGTTACAAGATAGTACTTAAAGACACCTGCGTCTATCCATAAATGATCAACATTAAAGTTAGGAAAGAACAAATATGTGTTCCAGGAAAACAAAGAGACGGAGCAAAAAAGGGAATTAA